TAGGCCAACTCCTCCCTGCCTTCTCCTCAAATTTACCCTCCTCCTTGGCCCTGGCATCCTGGTACTGCTGGTACTCAGACACCAGGTCATTCATGCCGCTCTTGGCCTCGGTCAGCTCCATTTCATCCATGCCCTCACCTGTGTACCAGTGCAGGAAGGCCTTGCACCTGAACATGACCATGAACTGCTCTGAAACATGCATTTGAACAGCTCCTGGATGGTGGTGCTGCTGCCCATGAAGGTGGCAGACATTTTTGGCTCCTGGGACTGAATGTCACAGACAGCTACTTGCACATTGTTGGGATCCACATTCACTCTTTTCCATGTGGACATCTAGTTTCTTTCTTTTTTTAAATTTTTTTTAAAGATTTTATTTATTTGACAGAGAGAGACAGCGAGAGAGGGAACACAAGCAGGGGGAGTGGGAGAGGGAGAAACAGGCTTCCCACGGAGCAGGGAGCCCAATGTGGGCCTTGATCCCAGGACCCTGGGATCATGACCTGAGCCGAAGGCAGACGCTTAATGACTGAGCCACCCAGGTGCCCCGGATATCCAGTTTCTCAACACCATTTATTGAAGACTATTCTTTACTCATTGTGTATACGCTTGGTTCCCTTGTTAAGACTTAGCTGATGGCCTATGCATGGTTTTATCTCTGGGTTCTATATTCTGTTCCATGGTCTATACATTTTCATGCCAATAATATATTGCATTGATTACTAAGATCTGTATTATAGTTTGAAGTCCAAAAGTGTGATGCCTTGGGGTGCCTGGGTGTCTCAGTTGGTTAAGTGTCTGCCTTCAGCTCAGGTCATGATCCCACGGTCCTGGGATCAAGGCCCCTGTTGGGCTCCCTGTGAGTAGGGAGGCTGCTTCTCCCTCTCCTCCCTGCTCATGGTCTTTCTTGCTGTCTCTCTCTCTCTCGAATAAATAAATAAAATCATTTTTAAAAAAAGGTGTGATGCCTCTTTGTTCAATTTTTTTCAAGATTGCTTTGGCTTTTGTGGCTCTTTTGTGGTTCTCTAAGAATGGAAAGAATGGTGGTAGTGAAATATGTACTCTAATACAGTTTGGGAGGTCAGTGGTGGGGGAGTCTACAAGGCGAGTACTACTCTATCTGGGCCTTTCTATGATCTATGTAGAGACAGATTCCATTGCTGGGTTCTTCAGGTGAAGGGTGTTCATGGCCTCTCCAGTTTCTCATGACCAGGCAGAGGGGAGGCCAACATGTCACTGACATTAGGGACACTTTCTCCTGGGACCCTTGTGGTTCAGCCCCTTTTGGCCCCTGCACAAGATCCATCTCAAGAGGGAGGCAAGAAATTGGGCAATTAGTTCTGTTGACTTCTTCTCTAACCAGAACCTTGGGGTTGTGTTCCTCTGGGTCTTTGTCTTACTGGTAATTGTGAATCTTCCTGCTCATTGTTCGAGTGCTTGTGAACAGGCACGAAAGGTGCTAAAGACCCTCAGGCCATGGAAGCATAAGAGAGGAATATTCAGGTAGCAGCCTGGACCAGCAAGAACTGCCATAGATCAGAGCAAGGTGGGGAACCATCACTAGACCTAGATCCGTGCATTTATGTGAGGACTAGGAGACAGTGTATTTACGTTGCTTGTTTTTAGAGGCTGACTTGCACACTGACCTCTATGATGCTGTTAGCCACATGTGGCCATAAAATTAAAATTAATTAAAGTTAATTGAAATAAAAATTTTAGTTCCTTAGTTGCAGTAGCTCTATTTCAAGTCCTCAGTAGTCACGTGGGGCTAGTGCTGCTATAGGTGGACAATGTAGATATAGAGCATTTCCATCACTGTAGAAAATCCTATTGTATAGTGCTGATAATAGATCATGGAAAGCTAGAAATCTCCGCCAATGCATATACGTGTGCTTGTGTGTGTTTGTGTGGGTGTGTGTATGTTGCTTCTTTTTAGGTTAATTGTATGTTGTGTTAGACTACATGTGATTCTTACTGTGTGTAGTGAGGTTTTGTGTGTGTGATTTGTGAGTTGCCCAGATGACTGGATGTGGTGTTTGCATGATTTTTAAACAGCTTTCCTGAGGTGTAATTGATAGAAAAAAAACTACAAAATTAATGTATGCAATTTAATGAATTTGGACATATGCATATACATTTGAAGCTATCACCACAATCAAGGTACATATCCATCAACTCCAAAAATTTCCTTGTGTCCCTGTTTTTTCCTGGATAAAAACACTTAAAATGAGATCTACTTTTTAAATGAATTTTTTAGTGCACAACAAAGTACTGTGGACTACAGGCACTATGCTGTAGGGCAGGCCTCTAGAACTAATTCATTTAAGTACTGAAACTGTATCATTTGAATAACAGCTATACCTTTTCCCCTCCTCCCCCTGGTAGCTACTACTTATTCTGTTTCTATGAGTTTGACTCTTTTAGATACCTCATAAAAGTGAAATCATATAATATTTGTCCTTCTGGAAGTGGCTTATTTCACTTAGCATAATGTGCTCCAGTTTCATCCATGTTGTCACAAACGGAAGGATTTCCTTCTTTTCTAAGGCAGAATAATATTCTGTTGTATGTATATACCACATTTTCTTTACCCACTCTTCTGTTGATGGACATTTGGGTTGTTCCCAAAACTTCACTATTGTGAATAGTACAGCAATGAGCATGGCAGTGCTTTTGATATCCCTTTGAGATCTTTATTTCAATCCTTTCTAAAGGTATATACCCAGAAGTGGGATGCAAGATCATGTGGTAGTTCTATTTTCAATGTTTTGGGGAAACTCCATACTGTTTTCCATAGCAGCTGACCACTTTATATTCCCACCAACAGCGTTAGAAGGGTTCCTTCTGCATGTTTTTTTTTTAAGTTTTGTGTGACAAAATGTTTCATTTTAAAGATGAATGTGAGTTCTATAATTTCAACTGGAGATGAGTACAGATAAGAGAGGGCCAAAGTACAGCACCTTGGTTTCTGTGTTACTCTGCATGTCTGTTTTTGTGTGTGTGATGTGTATGCACTTGACTGGGGGAAAGAGCCCTGCAGCCTGACTCCTCTCTTGTCTCAGCTATAGACATAACTGGAAGCTCCAAGGAAAGTCCTCTTTATGCAAAGTTGATGGAAATTTGTCCATGTGGTTTGAAGGCTACTGAACTTCTCCAGGGCCCCCAATTTTCTTCATGATTCCAGGGTCTTGGGATCAAGTCCCACATTGGGCTCCCTGCTCAGCAGGGAGTCGGCTTCTCCCTCTCCTGCCTGCCACTCCCCCTGCTTGTGCTCTCTCTTTCTCTCTGTGTCAAATAAAGAAATAAAATATTTAAAAAAAAAGATTTGTAAAAAGATTTATTTATTTATTTTGGAGAGACAGACAGAGAGAGAGAATGAATGCAAGCTGGGGGAGAGGCAGAGGGAGAGGGAGAGAGGATCCCAAGCATACTCCTTGCTGAGCTCAGAGCGTGACACAGGGCTCCATCCCAGGACCCTGATATCATGACTTGAGCTGAAACCAAGAGTCGGATGCTTAACTGAGTGTGCCATCCAGGTGCTCCAAAGATTTTATTTTTAAGTAATGTATATACCACCCTTACCAGCATAGGGCTTGAACTCAAAACCCTGAGATCAAGAGTGGCATGTTCCACTGACTGAGCCAGCCAGGCACCCCTTGAGACAGTAATTTATTAACTCTTATTGATATATTTTCTAACTTAAAACATTTTTATTGTGGTGAAATATATAACATAAAATTTGACATTTAAGTAATTTTTAAGTGTACAGTTCCATGACATTAAGTACATTCACACCATCACCACCATCTACTTCCAGAACTTTTATTATCTTCCCAAGCTGAAACTGTATACATTGAACAATAACTTCTCATTTCCCTTCCCTCTAACTGCTGGCCACCACCATTCTACTTTTTGTCTCTATGAATTTGACTATTCTAGGATCTCATGTAAGTGGAATCATACAGTATTTATGATTTGGTGACTGGCTTATTTTACTCAGCATGTCTTCAAGGTTCATCCACATTGTAGCATGTGTCAGGATTTCCTTCTTTCCATTCCACTGTATGTATATACCACATTTTGTTTATCCATTCATTTGTCAAAGGACACAGGTTTTTTCCATCTTTTGGTTGTTATGAATAATGCTGCTTTTAACATGGGTGTAAAAATATCTGTTTAAGAACCTGATTTCAATTATCTGGATATATACCCAGAAGTGGAACTTCTGGGTTATATGGTAACTCTATGTTTAATTTTTTGAGGAACTGCCATAGTGTTTTTCATTGTGACTACACCATTTTACATTCCCACCAGGGATGCACAAGTGTTCCAATTTCTTCACATCCTCACCAACACTTGTTTCCTTCCTTCCTTCCTTCCTTCCTTCCTTCTCTTTTTTTTTTGGGTAATAGTCATTCTAATGGTGTGAAGTGAGTTTATGTTTGAGGACTTATTCTGTACATGTAATGTTTCTTTAATCTTCTCAGTGCTATAAGTGGCAAGCATGCATATGTGTGTGAGAAAGACAGGCAGGCAGGCAGGCAGACAGAGAGGGCAAGCAACAATCAGGATAAGCAAGAACCAGACACAAGCTCATAAGCAGTCTGGCTGCAGAGGCATGCTCTTCATCAGGACTGTGAGGTTGTTCACTGGAATGTGGACTCCCCAGAGGAAGCAACTATGTCTTATCTATGAATTTCTCCCTAGTGCCTACCACAGTGTCTCTATACATGTAAAAAAACAACACCAAAAAAGAATGAGCTGTTCCTGATTCCCACTGAAGAGTTTGAGGTCACATTCTTTCTCCAAGTGACTGTGTTGGGGTACAAACAAATCTCATTGCATCCCTCCCACCAGACTGGATGAGTGCAAGGCAATCCTTGTCTGCATGCTGACATAGTCACTTGGAGAAATATGTGACCACACAGTAATTGCTATGCTTAGTATTTCTAAGTGCCTGATGTTTCCCATTTCTATTTATTCCTCCAGGAGAGAAAAGCAGCATGAGTCTGGAGAACCAGAGCAGCGTGTCCCAGTTCCTCCTCCTGGGGCTCCCGATCCAGCCAGAGCAGCAGGGCGTGTTCTTCACCCTGTTCCTGGGCGTGTACCTGACCACGGTGCTGGGGAACCTGCTCATCATCCTGCTCATCAGGCTGGACTCTCGCCTCCACACCCCCATGTACTTCTTCCTCAGCCACTTGGCCTTCACTGACGTTTCCTTTTCATCTGTCACTGTCCCAGAGATGCTGAGGAATATGCAGACTAAGCACTTACACATTTCCTATCCAGGATGTATTTCACAGATGTATTTTTATATACTCTTTGGTTGTGTTGATAATCTCCTTCTTGCAGTGATGGCATATGACAGGTATGTGGCCATTTGTCACCCTCTACACTACACCACCATCATGAAGGAGGATCTGTGTGTGTTGCTGGTGGCTGGATCCTGGATTCTCTCCTGTGGCAGTGCCCTCTTGCACACCCTCCTCCTGACTCAGGTGTCTTTCTGTGATGACAACATCATTCCCCACTTTTTCTGTAGCCTCCCCATCCTGCTCAAGCTGTCCTGCTCCAATACCTCTCTTAATGAGCTGGTCATATTTACTGCAGGGGCTGCGGTTGTCATTTTTCCATTGAGTGGTATCCTGTTCTCTTATGGCCGCATTGGGGCCTCTATTCTGAAGGTCCCCTCTACCAAAGGTATCTGCAAAGCCCTGTCCACTTGTGGCTCCCACCTTTCTGTGGTTTCTCTATTCTATGGAACAATTATGGCACTGTACTTTTCCTCCTCATCAAGCAACTCTAATGACAAAGATATGATTGCCTCACTGATGTATACAGTGGTCACCCCTGTGTTGAACCCCTTCATCTACAGCCTAAAGAACAGAGACATGAAATTGGCTCTGGGGATTCTTTTCAGAAACAATATCCTTTTTACCAAGTGAGAATCACCTAATTGTGTTATTTCACCCACTGACCTTGTCAGAGATGCTTTCTTGAAAAATTGTGTGTTCACTACCATGTCTCCTGCATCCTCCCAACTGCCCTTTAAATGGGCAGTTATGTTATAGGACCTGACCCATTTCAATTTGGTCATCCCTAGCTTTTAATTATAACCCACAGTTTCTATCTATTGAAGTAAATGAGATATAAATCAGCTCCTTATTTCCTGTTTCTTGTCCATTATTTTTCAAAGCTACAAATATTCAGTAAAGTTTCTAATGTTAAGTTTTAGAAAGTCCAGAATGCCTACCTTCTTAATGCAGTAGCTAGATAATAAAGTGTTTTTGATGGCTTGCTAAAACTTAAATAAACTTAAATTTGATTTTGCCTATGACAAGAAATTAATAGGGGAGCACAGCAGAGTCCATCAAGTTATCTAATTTCTCCATTCTGGGAAGATTGTAATCTGCTTTAAGTTGGATTTTTGTAGTGAGAATAGCTTCTATCTGCCTGATTAATTTTAATTTGGGGAAATGAGTATTGTCTTGTTCCCAAACTGAGAATTTCTACTTCTAAGAAGGAAAAGATAAATACGTGAATTCATAACTCATGCACACAAAAATATTTACCATGACTATAAACTAGGCAATTTTCCAAGCTCTGCACATGCAAGTTAAAAAAGGAAAAGACCCCCAAACTGATCCCCATGTAGAGTTTACATTCCAGCATTCCTTTTTTTTAAAAGATTATTTAGGCAACGTGATGCCCCCCACTTTGTTTTTCTTTTTCATCATTCCCTTGGTGATTTGGGGTCTTTTCTGGTTCCACACAAATTTCAGGATTGTTTGTTCCAGCTCTTTGAAAAATGCCAATGGTATTTTAATAGGGATGGCATTAAAAGTGTAAATTGCTCTGGGCAGGATAGACATTTTAACAATGTTTATTCTTTCAATCCATGAGCATGGAATGTTTTTCCATCTTTTTGTGTCTTCCTCAATTTCTTTCATAAGTGTTCTGTAGTTTCTAGAGTATAGATCCTTTACCTCTTTGGTTAGGTTTATTCCTAGGTATCTTACAGTTTTTGTTGCTATTGTGAATGGAATTGATTCCTTAATTTCTCTTTCTACAGTTACAATGTTAGTGTATAGAAAAGCAACTGATTTCTGTGCATTGATTTTATATCCTGCCACATTGCTGAACTGCTGTATGAGTTCTAGTAATTTGGGGGTAGAGTCTTTTGGGTTTTCCACATCAAGTCTCATGTCATCTGTGAAGAGAGAGAGTTTGACTTCTTTGCCAATTTGGATGCCTTTTATTTCTTTTTGTTGTCTGCTGATTGCTGAGGCTAGGACTTCTAGCACTATGTTGAACAACAGTGGTGAAAGTGGGCATCCCTGTCGTATTCCTGACCTTAAGGAAAAAGCTCTCAGCTTTTCCCCATTGATAATGATATTCACTGTGGGCTTTTCATAGACGGTTTTTATGATATTGAGGAATGCTCCATCTATCCCTATACTCTGAAGAATTTTAATCAGGAAAGGATGCTGTATTTTGTCAAATGCTTTTTCTGCATCAATTGAGAGGATCATATGGTTCTTTTCTTTTATTAATGTGCTCTATCATGCTGATTGATTTGCAAATGTTGAACCACCCTTGCATCCCAGGAATAAATCCCACTTGGTCGTGGTGAATAATCCTTTTAATGTACTGTTGGGTCCTATTAGCTAGGATCTTGTTGAGTACTTTGGCATCCATGTTCATCAGGGATATTGGTCTCTAATTCTCCTTTTTCATGGGGTTCTTTGCCTGGTTTTGGGATCAGGGTAATGCTGGCCTCATAGAAGGAATTTGGAAGTTTTCCTTCTGTTTCTATTTTTTGAAACAGCTTCAAAAAACAGGTATTACTTCTTCTTGAAATGTTTGGTAGAATTCCCCTGGGAAGCCATCTGTCCCTGGACTTTTGTTTTTTGGGAGGTTTTTGATTATTGCTTCAATTTCGTTACTGGTTATTGGTCTATTCAGATTATCTATTGAAACTGGACCATTCCCTTATACTATACACAAAGATAAACTCAAAATGAATGAAAGGACTCAATGTGAGACAGGAATACATCAAAATCCTAGAGGGGAACATATGCAGTAACCTCTGTGGCATCGGCCACAGTAACTTCTTTCAAGACACATTTCCAAAGGCAAGGGAAACAAAAGAAAAAATGAACTTCTGGGACTTCATCAAGATAAAAAGCTCCTGGGGGCGCCTGGGTGGCTCAGTCATTAAGCGTCTGCCTTTGGCTCAGGTCATGATCCCAGGGTCCTGGGATCGAGCCCCGCATTGGGCTTCCTGCTTGGCAGAAGCCGCTTCTCCCTCTCCCACTCCCCCTGCTTGTGTTCCCTCTCTCGCTGTGTCTTTCTCTGTCAAATAAATAAAATCTTTAAAAAAATAAATAAATAAAAAGCTTCTGCACAGCAAAGGAAATAGTCAACAAAACAAAGAAGCAACCCACGGAATGGGAGAAGATATTTGCAAATGACATTACAGATAAAGGGCTGATATCCAAGATCTATAAAGAACTTCACAAGCTCAACACTCAAAAAACAAATAACCCAGTCAAAAAAATGGGCAGAAGACATGAACAGACACATCTCCAAAGAAGACCTACAAATGGCTAACGGACATGAAAAAACGCTTAACATCATTAGCCATCAGTGAAATACAAATCAAAACCACAATGAGATACCACCTTACACCAGTCAGAATGGCAAAAATTAACAAAATAGGAACAACAAATGTTGAAGTTGTGGAGAAAGGGGAACACTCTTACACTGTTGGTGGGAATGCAAGCTGGTACAGCCACTCTGGAAAACAGTATGGAGGTTCCTCAAGATGTTAAAAATAGAGCTACCCTAGGACCCAGCAATTGCACTACTAGGTATTTACCCCAAAGATACAGATGTAGTGAAAAGAAGGGCCACGTGCACCCCAATGTTCGTAGCAGTGATGTCCCCAATAGCCCAACTGTGGAAGGAGCTGAGATGCCCTTCAACAGATGAATGGATAAAGAAGATGTGGTACAGTGTGTGGGGGAGAAGATGGCAGAGGAGTAGGGGACCCTATTCCAATCGGTCCCTGGAACTGAGCTGGATATCTCCCAGAGCACTCTGAACACCCACAAAATCAGCCTGAGATGTAAGAAGATATATCTGGATCTCTACAGATAGAATATCGCAGGTGGTTGGTTTCAAGGTATGAAGCAGGGAGCCCTGATTCTGTGGGCAGATATCGGAAGATAAACAGAAGGGGGAGGGAGCCCTTGGGATCCTGCACCAGGGGTGAGTGAAAGCCTCCTGTGCTGGGGACAGGGCACAGACTCTCAGACCAGTAGCAGCGGGGAAAGGACTTTAGGGCAGCCCGCTTGACAGAAACCCAGAGTGGCGGGCCATGCTTGCGAACTGGGGGAAGCTGGTGGTTTTAAAAGCACAAAGGGCAGAGACGTGCCCCATGACCTGACCTGGAGGGGAGGACTGGGCGCCCTGCTGAGGGCCACACAACCCAGGAAGCTGCAGTTTATAGCAGCACAGATGGAAACGGAAATAGTGTGGCCTGGAGAGCTCACTGAAGAACAGACTGCGATCTCTCTGCTCTGAGGCAGAGGGTTGGAAACGATCTCTTCTGCTCAGACTCTCGGAAGAGACACGGAAAGCCACCAGGGAAAGCCACCAGAGAACAAAAGCCCCCCAAAACTGGTTTTCACTGAGCCCATACCCCCCAACAGGGGGCAGAGCAACTCTGTCCAAACAGGGTTGCCTGAGTAACAGCACAGCAGGTCCCCCCCCATCCCCCCGCCAGAAGACAGGCTGGGAGAACAAGAGGCCGACAACCCTAAGGTCGGTGCATCTTGCTTGGGCTGTGGCCAATAATTTGGACTCTGTACATTCCCTCAACCACCCCTTAACAGAATGACTAGGAGGAGGAACCCCCAAAATAGGAAAGACTCAGAGACTGTGACTTCTGCCGCAAATTTACAAAAGGATACAGATATAACCAAGATGTCAGAAATGGACTTCAGGGTAACAGTTAAGAAGACGATAGCTAGAATGGAGAAATTGATTAATGGCAACATAGAGTCTCTAAGGGAAGAAATGAAAGCTGAATTGGCAGAATTTAAAAATGCGATCAAAGATCCAATCTAATCTAGATAATCTAACAGCTAGGGTAAGCGAGGCAGAAGAACAAATTAGTGATCTAGAAGACCAATTAATAGAAAAGAAGGAAAAAGAGGAGGCCAGGGAGAAAAAACTCAAAATCCATAAAAAGAGAATTAGAGAAATAAGTGACACCATGAAACGTTCCAATGTCAGATTATTGGGATCCCTGAAGGGGTGGAGAGAGAGAGAGGACTAGAAGATATATTTGAGCAAATCGTAGCCGAGAACTTCCCTAATCTGGGGAATGAAACAAACATTTGTGTTCTAGAGACAGATTAAGGAAAACAGGCCAATGCCCTGGCATGTAATAGTAAAACTCGCAAATCTTAGAACCAAGGAAACCATCTAAAGGGCAGTTAGGGGGAAGAGATCCTTACGTACAGAGGGAGGAACATCAGAATAACGTCAGACCTATCCACAGAGACCTGGCAAGCCAGAAAGGCCTGGCAAGACATTCAGGGTACTAAATGAGAAGAACATGCAGCCAAAAATACTTTATCCAGCAAGGCTGTCATTTATAATGGATGGACAGATGCAGAGCTTCCAAGATCGGCAGAAACTGAAAGAATATGTGAACACTAAGCCAGCCCTGCAAGAAATATTAAGGGGGGTTCTATAAAAAGAGACAGCCCCTAAGAGTGATATAGAACAGAAATTTGCAGAGACAATCTAAAGAAACAAGGACTTCACAGGCAACATGATGACAATAAATTCATATCTTTCAATAATCACTCTCAACGTGAATGGCCTAAATGCTCCCATAAAATGGGACAGAGTTGCAGATTGGATAAAAAGA